CAGTGATGGCTGTTAGCACAGGGTTCTGCCTGACATCCCCAGCTGTGATCCCTATTATTTCCCTTTCGATTAGAAGGCTAGAGATATGTTAGTGCCTTGGACTGCTATAACAAGAATTCCTCACAGCCAGAGAGATGGCTAAGTGGATAAAGGCATCTTCTGCCAAGCCTGATAACTGGAACCTACAGGATAGAAGGAGAGAACCAACTCCTACAAGTTGTCCTGTGGCATGCATAAGTGCATACACACACACACACAAATATGTAAAAGTATAATTTTAAAAACGTACCTTAGATTGGTACTTTAAAACAACATCTTATTTCTCAGAATTCTGCAAGTTGTGAGGCCTAAGAACAAGGCGTCTCAGTGTCTGGTGGGAGCTCACAGCCTGCTCCATGAAGGTACCTTCTTGTGTTCTCACAGGTGGAATGGGTAAGACAGCTTACTTGGGTCCCTAAAAGGGGTCAGGCCCTGAGCACAAGGGTTGGGACGTCAACAAATGACTTTGTTGGGCATGAAAACATTGAGGCCATAGCTGAAGAATGATGCTGAAGGGTCGTCTAGTTTCTGTCCTCCATAATCCCAAAGCCCTGCATCTTATAGCTGACTTGCCCTGGAGTTTGCTCTAGGTAAGCTGTTTTGCAAAGAACACTTAGAGGCCCTTTTGACCCCTTTTCAGATGCAGATGCTGTTCTGTGTTAGGGTCTTACCTTGCCACTGTGACCAGTAGAGGAAAGCTACACTAGGGTTCATGGTGGAGCTTTTGGCAGTGGGAGCTTGCAGTGGGACCCATTATATCACGAAGACGCTAGAGATAATACAAACTCTGGGGGCCTGCACTTGGTGACTTTTCTCATCTATCTCCCACCTCCTCAAGCTTTCACTGCCTTCCTACACAGTGCCACCAAGCTGGGGATCAAGTATTCAAACACATGAGTCTATGGAGATTTTTCGGAGTTAAACCATTATATATACCCCTTTCCTGGTCAGAGATTGCTGGGTCTGGGTCCCTTTCTCCAGATGTTCTAGCCAGTAGATTCTCCTTCTTTATTTCCTTAGTGGTTTGGAACCCTTTCTTCACTTTCGTTACTCATCATCTAAGTGTTGGTGAGGGGACCATGTATTTCCTACCCCCTGGATGGTTCTGAAGGGGATGTGACTGCAACATTAGACTGTTGTGTTGTGAACATGACCTCTGGAGTAATGGAAAACTGTGTGTGAATCATTTTCTGCTCCTGCTGCCTATGTCATCTTGATTGAGTAACCTAAATACTCTGTTCCTGAGGCACAGTAGGCATTTCAAATCTGCCTTGCATTCTTTTGAGAACCAAAATTAATTTTATGTGTTATTAATTATAAGTGACATTGATTTTCTTTTGCTTATCATTTGCTTGATAGAGAATTTTCTCTCTATTGTTAGCTGTATTAATCAGGGTTCTTTAGAATAGCAGAATTTATAGAATGAATAACTCTATATCTATATATGCATTATCTATCTATCTATCTATCTATCTATCTATCTATCTATCTATCATCCATCCAGTTATTTCCAGATATCCAGTTATTTCCAGATATCTATCTATCTATTTAGTTAATTCCAGATATAGTCAAGATGATATTCAAGAGTAACCATCACACCAACCTTTTATTAAGGTAGTGTGTGGTTCTTTGAATAGGAATGGCCCCCAAAGACTCATTGTTTGATTGCTTGGTCTATAGAGAGAGGCACTATTAGGAGGTGTGGCCTTGATGGAGGAAGTGTGTCACTGTGGAGGCCAGCTTTGAGGTCTCCTATGCTTAAGCCACGCTCAGTATGACAGCTCACTTTTTACTAAGCTTATAGTTAGACTGTGTGAAGTTTTTTTCTGTCATTTTACTTCTGGCATCTTGGCTCCTTTTTTTCTCTTTTGTTGAATGGATAGTTCCTTTTCTTTGTTGGTAACAACCTAATGATTGTATTCTTCTTTCTTGTGATTTTTTTTCCTAAAATTTTAAGGTATTTGCTTAAAATTGGCAAACAAAAATTTCTAGGAACATTGGAAGTGACACAGTTTATTTCCTAAACTAAGGCAGGTAATCTCTAGCACAATGCTTGCCCTAGAGTGCAGAAGAACTCCAGTGACTAGAGTCCCTCTTGCCACTGCCAACACTACAACAAATATTAATATCATCATTTTGCCCAAAAACCCACTAAGCACTGTTTTATCCATGAGTGTTATAAAGAAGCTATGAAGTTATAAAGTTATGAAGTTATGAAGAGAGTTATGAAAATTATCCAGAAGAAATTCTGTTCTGAACAGCACCATTTCTTTGTTCTAAACAAGGGAATACTAGGAGAGATAAGACTGGATCCTAGTTCATTTTGCAATTTGGTTCATGATAACATTCTCTCATGGGTTCTCTTGTTTGTAAAATGTTATTCTGAGCTTTCAATAAGTCATATTGTGTGTGTGTGTGTGTGTGTGTGTGTGTGTGTGTATGTGTGCTTGTGTGCGTGTGTATGCCAGAGGTAAATGTTGGTGTCTTCCTCAGTTGCTCTCCCAGAGTCAGGGTCTCTCACTGATCATATAATTTGCCAATTAGGATTAGGTTACGCTGGCTGGCCAGCAAGACCATGGAATCCTCTCGTCTTTGCCTCCCAGAGCAGAGATTATAGGTATGTGCCACCATGTCTAATTTTTTTTTTTTTTGGTTTTTCGAGACAGGGTTTCTCTGTGGCTTTGGAGCCTGTCCTGGAACTAGCTCTGTAGACCAGGCTGGTCTTGAACTCACAGAGATCCGCCTGCCTCTGCCTCCCGAGTGCTGGGATTAAAGGCGTGCGCCACCATCTCCCGGCTGTTTTGGTTTTTTGAGACAGCATTTCTCTGTAGCTTTCCTGGAACAGGCTGTCCATGAACTCCTCCTGCCTCTGCCTCCCGATTGCTGGATTAAAGGTGTGCACCATCACTGCCTGGCTCCATGTCTGAATATTCTACATGGATCCTGGGGATTGAACTCAAGTCTTGTGGCAAGCACTTTCCTGACTGAGCCATCTCTCCAGCTTGTCAGAGTCAGATACCGTACTGTGCCCAGCACCTGGTAGGCATGTAGTAACTGGCAGCTTTTGTGTGGCTATGAACTGAACTTCCTTTTAAAAGCATCCCAACCTTGACTTGTTCAGCCAAAATCTGATTCTGTGTCTGTGGTTCTGACCTCTGACTCCAGGCTGCTCTGGCTGTGGCTTAGCATGGCAAGTGGTCTCTTAGGGTGGTGAAATGGATCTTGATGTTTCTGGAGCAGTTGCTGGTGAGTCAGGAGTGTGGCGAGGGGTGCTTTAGAGTGGAGGAAGGAGTGAAGTAGGGATCTTCTGTGGAAGATGTTTGATCTCACTGGGGGCAGCAACTCCTCTATGCTCGGCTCCCTTGTGTGCTGCTGGGAAAGCAGTTAGGAGTCTGCAGCCCCTAGGTGGTGGCTTTTAGCTATGCCACCGGGTTCTGCACTTCCATTCCCACTGCTCACCAAGCAGTCCAAAGTAGGAATGCTGCTGCAGTGAGCTGCCCGTGGCTCATGTCCTCCAATGACCATGGTAGCGCTGAGGGGGTAATACTCACACTTGGACCACTGATTGAACAAAGGCCTGAGAATTAGGGCAGGTGTTTACTTATACTTCTCCATGACAGAGGCTACCAATCTCTAATGGATCCTGAGAATGGCAAGAGCTAGGAGTAAGATGGGGGTGTGCGGTATTATGCCAGAGCTGGGCCCCATCCATGGGGTTACCTCCTTAACCTCCTCTGTGTCTCCGTTCTCCAGGTGGTTGAAGATGTGCTAGCGAGTTGGGGCTCAGGAGAACTCCATGTGCTCATAGACAAGTCACCTGACCAGGTGCTTTGTAACCTGCACGCTGCAAAGCGGATTCCTCTCGCTATGCTCACTCACAGATGGATGGAACAGACCTGCTGGCTCTGGGAAGGCCAGGATCAGGCTCTGTGTGGCTTATTCTGGAGAGGAGCAGGCAATAGGGGAAGATTGAGAGTTTCTAGTTCTTCTTGAGAAACTTGTTTGAGCCTGCATTGGATCCATCTGGTCCCTCCCCTCCATGCAGGGAGTAGGCCACTGTGTGTCAGAAGATAGCCGGGCTAAGCAGGACCTGCTGGTCACTCCTGTGCTGTGTCTCATGCAGTTAGTATATGAACACTAGTGTTCACAGGTAGGGTACAGCATGCTGGATCCAATATGGAAACCTAGAACCAAGTGCTAGGTCTGCTCCCTCCCACGCAGGGTCGGGTGGTACCACTTGAGCTCTCAATGTTTTGAGGCCATGCAGAGGGTTCCTAGGGGCACCTAGAGAAGGAAGTGATCAAGGGCTCATGGCATTCAGGATTAATCATCAGCCTGAGTGATGAAGACTCACTTTCCATTAGCTCTGGAGTCTGTAACTGGTCATTTTAAAAATATACTTAAGGAAACAAGTCCAGAGGAGTTAGTGATTTTGCCAAAGCGACACAATTGGTAAGCATGGAACCTTAGAGTCTAACTCAGCTATGACAGACTCTTGTGTTCAGATAAGGATAATGAAGGTTCTAGAATTGGAAGAAGTAAAAAAGTTATTGCCAAGGGGGCCTCGTTACCTTGTAGTGGCCAAAGATGATGTTGTCAGGGAGTTTGTTCTATGAGAGTACTGTTGGTTTTCTTGGGATCTGGTGGCCAAGGGTGAGAGTGTGAAAATAGATGTGGAAATATGTTGAGTTCAAGATACTGCACAGGTATACTGTGTGTGTGTGTGTGTGTGTGTGTGTGTGTGTGTGTGTGTGTGTGGTACAGTGCCTGGTCCCAGTCTGCCCACAGCCTGCTCATTTGTCATGGTAACTGGCATAGAAGCCCATTTCCTCCCTGCCTAGTGTGTAGAACAAAACAAAACAACAACAACAACAAAAACAACCCCACAAAAAACAAAAAATAAAAAGCAAAAGCAAACTCCCACCTTCTCCCCAAAATGACAAAATACAAAAGCAAACTAAAGCCTTTTCGTCAAGATGGCGCCGAAAGCGAAGAAGGAAGCTCCTGCCCCTCCCAAAGCCGAAGCTAAAGCGAAGGCCTTGAAAGCCAAGAAGGCAGTGCTGAAAGGCGTCCACAGCCACAAAAAAAAGAAGATCCGCACATCGCCCACCTTTCGGCAGCGTCCCAAGACCCTGCGGCTACGAAGGCAGCCTAAATACCCCCGGAAGAGCGCGCCCAGGAGGAACAAGCTTGACCACTATGCCATCATCAAATTCCCCCTGACCACCGAGTCAGCCATGAAGAAGATAGAAGACAACAACACACTTGTGTTCATTGTGGACGTCAAGGCCAACAAGCACCAGATCAAACAGGCTGTGAAGAAACTCTATGACATCGATGTGGCCAAAGTCAACACCCTCATAAGGCCCGATGGAGAGAAGAAGGCGTATGTTCGGCTGGCTCCTGATTATGATGCTCTGGATGTTGCCAACAAGATTGGAATCATCTAAACTGAGCCCAGCCAGCTAATTCTAAATATACAATTTTTCACCATAAAAAAAAAAAAAAAAAAAAAAAAAAGCAAACTAAAGGGAAACAGTAGAGATGGTCAGGGCTGCAGAGGAGCTGACTGCATTTTATGGTCCAAATGGCCCATTCTGATGATTTGGGTGACAGTGGAGCTGGCTTGCTTCAGGACTCTAATGGCTTTTTAGGAGCTGTTACAGTCTTAATAACATATTGTTCTTAGGCTAGTAGTTTTTAAAATTATAGCTCCATTTAAAGGCAGATGAGAATGGAAAAGAGAGAGAGAGGCTGTGAGTGGAAGAGACTGTAGGGAGCTCCAGAGATAGTCCCATTCTAAGGCAAAAGAAAATACAGCTCTCAGTGGTTTCTTTGTCGTGGTCCTGAGACTGTCAGAGTGCAGTCATTTTCTAGGTGAACTCGTATCTTGGTTGATGGGAGGCCCTTTATGCAGTTGTTGGTCTGTGGCTTACGGGAGAGCTGGTTGTAGTGAGATTCCTCAAGCCTCTTCAGGGCTGTTGATTCCAGGAATTCACGGGGTTGGGCCAGACTTGCGGGATGTTGTCAGAGAAGCAGGGGAGGGGCAGAGTTTGACACACACAAATGGAAAGGCAATGAACTATGGCTCTCGTCCTCAGGATTCCTGCCTCCAGCTTTGACTGTCTCACTCCTGGGATGCTGTCTTCCTTTGGTGTTTGCAAATGAAGCAAGTTCTGCAGAAGAGAAATGACTTGTCTAAAGCCATGTAACCACTGAATGGGGATGGGAAACTAGACTAGATGGCTCAGCTTCCAGGGCCCCATTTCCAAAGTCACATAGCTTTTGACATGTATTGGCGTGTTGGTACTTCCAATAGATTTGTTATCCTTGGAGTCAAGGAAGTGTCTGACCTTCCTGACCCTCAGGTGTATGACAAGATCTTGTCACGATACCAGAGACTCACTTACAATGCTTGGTGATTCTCATGGCAGAGATGGCATGGAGTTTTCAGAACGTGGATGGCCAACCTCTGTTGAATACATATGTGATATCCATTAGAAATATAGAGACACTCAACAAATGTACACACACACACACACACACACACACACACACACATTTCCGGTGCTTAAAGTAGCTCGGTAAAGTTTTCAACAGAAGTTATAGGACTAATTAGTTACAGACGGCAGCAGCACAAAATTGGGAGTGATTTAGGGTTGTCAGGATAACATATGTAGAGGGCATAACAGCTTTTGGGTCCCTTTCAACATCGTTAGGCTACTTGGGCTTGAAAATCAAGGATTCATAACACCAGCTGATGTTTCCCTATGTCTAGATTTTTCCACTTGTTTTTAATTTGACTATTGACCATCTGGGTTACTTTTTAAAAAGTCATTTGTTTCTTTAAAAATGGTTTATTACACCTAACTGTCTGTCTGTCTATTCATCTGTCTGTCTGTCTGTCTGTCTGTCTGTCTGTCTGTCTGTCTTGTGTGTGGGTATATATACATGTTTGGGGGTGTACATGTGTGTGTGTGGTGTATATATATATATATATGTGTGTGTGTGTGTATCTGTGTAGTGACAAGAGGACAACTTGCAGGAATTGTCTCTCTCTTTAATTTGTGTAGGTTCTAGAGAGTGAACTCAGGTTTGGTAGTAAATGCCATCACCCCTTGAGCTATCGCAACAGCCCTGATTACCTCTCTATTTGGCTGCATTGCTTTATCTCAGAAGGGAAGTGATTATAAAGTCCTGCTAGGCTCATCCACCTCCACCACCACAATGGAAACAAACTCAGGAAATCAGCACCCTGATTTCAAACCTTTTGGTTCATGGAATTATTTACAGTCATGAACTAGCTAGTTTGAACGGATTGACTCCCTGGCTTAGATGAGTACAAAATGGGAGAAGAAATAGAAACCCTGGTGCCTCCCACCCATCAAGTCTGTGTGGACTACCTTTCCTCTGTTGTTTTTGTTTGTGGGGCACACTCTCCTCTCTGGCTAGCCTCTGGGCCTACTGGGAGCCCACTGGATCCACTTAAAGGTCAAGTCAAGTGGGATGCCTGTTAGTAGGTTCCTTCTGTAGCTGACATATTGCATGACCTATAGTGGAGTCTCTTCACGCCGACATGGCGGCCCATGTCTCCTCCCCACAGGCAGAGCACATCTTGTCACTGCTCCTTCTCTGGACTATTTCTGATCGTTATTGACTTGCTGCTTGACAGCGCTTCCCAGAAATAATGAACCGGGTAGTTTTCCCTCTTCATGTTTCTTTGTTGTTGTTGAATGCATATGGGTAACTGGGCTCTCCACTTATATTTTATTGATTCCTGAATTTAGGAGATAGTGCTGTAATTGATAATTTCATCAGTGCCTCATGCGCATAAGTAAGTGTGGAACCTGTGGCTGTTAACTCTACATGAAGCTGGGACATTCCAGACCTGGGCTATGACCCAAGATGGGATCACTTCTTTCCAGTCCTGCTGGACACTGCTAAGTGTCCTTGGGCATGTCCTAGCTGCCTTTCTTGGCTCTGGCTCTACTTTACTGTTTTATGAGATGTTACATAATGTGACCTTGACCACCAGTCCTTGAGTTATGGTTCTTGGGTTCCAGACTGAGCTAGAAGCCCCCTTTTCTTTGGTGGTTGTGTGTGAAGGCTTGGCTACCCCAGTGTTTGAGATGATATCCCTGATCTACTCATGTTCTCTTGCCTTTGTTTTCCTTGGGGGCCTGATGGATGTGGCTGAGTCATGTGCTGTCACAGCCAGAATCCCTTGTGACTAAGCTATGTGTTTGGGGAGGACTGGCAGAGCCACTGTATAGCGTCTGCATGGGGACAGCCTGACTCCAGCAGTGTTCTGGTGGGGAATAACCCTAAACCTTGCTGGCACAGAGAAGTAGCACCTGCCGCCATGGCTCATGGGTCAGGACTCCTCCAATACACCCCTCTGACCACCCCCATCCTCTAGCTACGAGCTTTGCTTATGCATACAAAAATATGTTTCCATTCTGATTATTGTAGAAAATCTGGCTGTAAAGTTCCTGGATTGAGATTAAGCCCCATGTGTGATCCAGGTCAGCGGCTGACCTTTATCATGCCCATAACCTGCAGACAAGCGAGATGTCCTCTCTGAAGAGCAGCAAAGTCTTGGGATTTGAAATTGGGCACACTTGGATTTGAAGCTGAGCTCACTGCTTTTGGTGGAGTCACTTAAAAGCCAGCCTCTCTGCCTTGGTACATCTTTTCTAGGAAGGTAGCAAGCAATTTTGATTTAAAGACATTCCCTTAGAAGACTAAGTGGACTCCTCCTGGATTTCATATCCCCCCTCCACGCCAGTGGTATAGAAGACGCTGTGGGGAGGGCCACAGACACATTTCTTTTTTTTTTTTTTTTTTACAGACACATTTCTTATTATAGTTTGTGTGCTTGGATGCGCTTGTGAGAAAATAGAAGTAACAGTTTGAGCTCGTGACTTCACAGATATTATTGCTCAGTACAATGCTATTTTGAAAACAAAAAGAGGAGATAGTTTTGAGTTGATTTAAAGGACAATGTATAGTCCTTATTAGAACAGGGCAAGCAAACATGGTCCAAGCCAGTAAGATAGGCCCTGCTGTGCTAAGTGATTGCAAAAGCCTAGTGGAGATGAGACAGTGGGAACAGATCAAAATGTCTTTCCATTCTTGTCAATTCCTGGAGGAGGATATGGGCACTGCTGCAGGAAAGTGTAAGAGGAGACGCAGACAGTGGCTCGGGCCTGCACATTCCATTGGCCAGCAGGGGATTCTGCCTGGTTGTCCACTCACCTGTTGCTTGTCATAGCATTAGAGCCCGTGAGCTTAGGACAGGTTTTGAAGACAATCTGTTGTTTTGTGTCAGACTTAGGTGGTTTTATATACAATTATTTTATGAATGGAACACTGAAGCAAAGACCTAGAGAGAGCGTGGCTCACCTAAAGCCATAGCAGGCGTGGCTCACCTAGCAGAGCTTGGCTCACCTAAAGACAGATCAGTAGTGGTGGAGGTGGGGTGAACTTTCTGTCTCCTCCCAGGGAAGACATTCTTTCCTCTCTTGCTTCCTGTTGTGGTCAGCAGCTTCTCTGTTTGAAGTTCTTAGTACAAGCCCCACCTGGACTTAGATAGCCCCATCTAGCCTTCATCACTGCTGGGCCTCTGGCTTCATGTGCTCGTGAGAAGTTTGGAAAGCCAACTGTGAAGACACTGTGGTAAGAAGTGATGCATTGTAGGAGTCCTCCATTTGGTGCCTATCATGGCAAATCATCAGCCTGTGAGCTGGGATGCTGTTGGTCTCGGATTTCTCTTTTTCAAAGACAAGATTTGGGGGGAAAGGAGTGGTGTGGGGGGCTAATGCTAGGTTCATCCAATAAAGGAATTAAGATGTAGTCTGAGGCCATGCAGACTAGATGGAATTATACATCCCAACTTGTTTATTCTTAACCATAAGCATGACCTTCCGGTTTCCCAGTCTATGGTACTTTTTGAGAGGTGCCCCAGTTTGCAAGTGGGGTTGGATTGGTAACCTGGGCAGAGCCCAGTCTTGTCCCAGCATATCCTATGTGCCTCAGAAAATATTCCAACACCAAGACTGTGACTGAGGCTCTGAGGCTTCTCAGGTGCAGCAGGAGGCTGAGTGTGCAGTATGAAGCCCATGCTAGACCCCAAGGCCCATTCCGCAGTACCCACCTCTCTTTTTCCTTCTGCATTTCTTCCTTACTATTTCCTCTTCGCTCCCATCAGCCTTATATCTGTCATTTCCTAGGTGGAAAAGGCTCTTGGACTTTCCTTGGCAGAGGACCTTAGAGAGCCCCTGGACTCTGCTGTCCTAGAGGGAAGGAGAGGGTAGTGGGGTGTGAACACTTTCAATAGATATTCCAGTGCCCCCACGACTTTCTAGCCTGTGGGTTGCTCAGGGTACTTTAAGACCTGCTGTAGAGGTGGCCTAACTTGCTCTGATTCTGGTGTCTCCTCTCCATTGTGTGA